TTTGGGCAAACTCTGAAAGCTGTAATTGAAAAATGATTTTAAAAAAGCATAACTGCAGAATTGGTCTAGCCAGATAAGATTAAAAGTGGAGAGCAGGGCCTGGTAGTCAGAGGGTTAAATAAGAGGTTTAGCAATATTCAGATTGGGGCACTCAATGATCTGCTGTCCCTAGGATAGACAAAAATGTTTCCATTGCTTTGATGCATATGGACTTCCTGTGTGTCATCACTTTGCCCTCCAGAGTGGGCTGCCTTTCATTGCTTCACTACACACCTAATATAACTTGAAGCACAGACTTTGCAGAAGTATGAGGATGTTTTCCCTGAACAGATATATTTAGAAAAGTGCACATGAACCTTGTTTATCTAAGCATCTGAAATAAAACTGTCTATTCCTGGCCGGATTTACAAGGGAATCAACTAAAGTGATGTTAAAGTCAAAACGTTTTTAAGCTATTTTGAATGCTGATTAAATCACTTACAATGGGTGTTGCTTCTTGATGTTTAAAGATTTTACTTACCTGCAGAATCAGCTGGTCTCCTGAGCACTTGTCCTGACTTCCTGTTTTTGGGTGGCTCTTTTCCCTTGCGGGGTCCTATGGAGCTAACCTTGTGTGTGCTAGAAAGCTGTGTGTGTCTCCACAAATACACAGGCATAGCAAACCAAAACACTATCCTTCTACCTGTTCTGTTCTCCTCTCCTCCTCCTCCTCCTCCTCCTCTTTCCTTCATCTTCCCTTCTCCAAGCTAATAGATGGACAGCTGCTGTGCTCTCCCTTGTGATCTTGTACTCAACAGGACATTGGGGGAAAAGGGCTGAGAGAGTTGGAGCTGTTTGAAGACAGGATGACTGTAAGTGCTTGGGCAAAAATATAAAGAAATATTTTGCAAGTCAATGTATATTTTTTTATCTACATATGTTATTGAAAAAACAGAGAGTGTAATACTTTAATTTAGTGTATCTAAAGCCAGAAACTTTTTTGTTTTGGAGCATTGGGTAGGGAAGTGTTTTACCCTTTGTCGGGTTTTTATTGTTGGGGAGATTTACCCTCTCTATGTGTCCTGATGATCACTGTTGTCACTAGGAGAGAAAGTGATGGTAAATTCTAAATTTTTACAGTGGGAAAGAAGAGGGAAGAGGAGGTGAAAAGAAATCTTCCTGTATGGACACCTGTTGTGGAGAAAACTGTCTAGGGCAGTGGTGCCCACAATTTTTGTGTTAAGATCTACTTTTTAAATCACGAGCTACATGAGATCTACCAACGAAAAAAAAAACTCCATCACTATCTCTCTCCTGGCTGTCGCTCCTTGCTCATCCTCCTGGCTGTCTCTCCTTGCTCTCCTGGCTGTCTCTTTGCTCTCTTGGCTGTCTCTCCTCGTTCTCTCTCCACCGGTTGTCTCTCCCGGCTCTCTCTTCTGGCTCACCTTGCTGTATTTTGCAGCAGGCTGGGTAAACTAATATTCTTTGATGTAGTACATAGCACTTCAACCACCAGTATCCACCAGAAAGGTGTCAGGGAGCTTGGCTCAGCAGTCTCAGGCTAATAGGTAATCATGTGTGCACAGCTAAATAAATTTAAAAAAATGGAATAAAGGGGCCACCATTCACACCCTTCGTGATC